ATAATGTGGAACAAGAGGCTTAGAAACATATTGACTGAGATCTTGTACTGCAAATGAAATATTAGGCCGTGTGTTTGTCAAATATATCAGTCTTCCAATTAATCTCCTACATGAAGTAGGATTTGCTAAAGGTTCACCGTCAATAGGAGATAATTTGATGATAGGGTCAAAAGGAATAAGTTATGGTTTTGCAGCTAGAAATCCCGTGTCTTCCAGCAGTTCAAGTGCGTATTTTCTTTGGTTCATGAAGATGCCTTTAAAAGATCTAGCAATTTCAAAACCTAAAAAGAATATCTAAGCTACCTAAGGTCTTTTATCCTGCATTTCTGGTCAAGGACATCTTTGACAAATTGAATTTCAGGGATAGAATTACCAACAAGGACAATGTCATCCACATAGACAAGTATGGAAGTGGAACAATGCTTGTGAGACTTCACATATAATGAGGATAAACTTGAGATTAAGCATAACCCAAAGAAACTAAAAATGAGGAGAGTTTAGAATATCATTGCCTACTTGCCTATTTAAGACCATATAGAGACTTGTGGAGCTTGCACACTTGAGAAGAATTGGATGTGGAGAGACCATGAAGGAGTTTCATGTACACATGTTCATGTAAATCACCATAAAGGAAAGCATTATTGACATCCAACTGTTCTAGGTTCCAACCCTTGATTGCAGCAATAGACAATAAGACCCTAACAGTTGTTATTTTGGCTACAGGGGAGAAAGTGCCAAAATAATCAACGCCCTCCATTTGTGTGTAACTTTTAGCTACTAGCCTAGGTTTATACCTCTCATTGGAGCCATCTTCCCTGCATTTCATCTTATAAACCCACCTGCATCCAATTGGAACCTTTCTTGGTGGAAGATCAACTACATTCCATGTATGGTTTTCTTCAAGAGCATGTAACTCAACATTCATAACATCTTTCCAACAATCCAATTTAATAGCATGATTAAAGGTTTCTAGTTCAATGTTAGAAGAGACGGATAAATAAAAATGCTTATAAGATGGGGCACAATGATTATATGTAAGAACGTATGATAATGAGTATAATATTGTGGAAGAATGGTTTTGTGTTGTAGAAAAACAATGATAATCTTTTAAGTATTGAGGAGGATGAAATGTTCTAGAGGAATGTCTAACAGGTAAAAGAGTAGGTTTTGCAGAATTTTGAGAAGGAAGAGAAGAGTTCTCTAAAGGAATCATAGCAGAGGAATACTCATTGGATAAAGGATGTGTATGCTCTATGATATGTTGAACATTAGAGGAAGAAAAACCAATAGGTAAAGAAGGACTATGGTTATTCAAAGGAGTATATGTAGTTAGTGTACCATATTCAAAATTGCAAGAAGGAGTAAGGTTATGAGTAGGGTCAACATCAATAGATTGTAAAGACCTAGGATCAACAGGGCTAGGATTAGAATGATAGGGCAAATCAACTGGGCTATTATTTGTGGGGCTAGGGCTAGGATAGTTGATAGTAAAGGGGGAGTTAACATCATTACTATTATCACTGTCATTGAAGGGAGCAGAAATATCAGATGAAAGGGATCATTCAGTGGTACTAGGTTGTTGACTAGGAGATAGGTTTTGTATGTCAGTGAGATGATCATCCAAGCTTGGAATAGGGCTTTATGTTGTATCAGAAGAGAGATTATCATGTTTGAAAGGAAATGTATTTTCATAGAAAATCACATTCCTTAAAATGAATATATTATGATTTTGGAGATCATATAGAATGTATCCCTTGACACCTTCCTTATAGCCAAGAAAAACATCCTTTCTAGCCCTAGAATCAAACTTTGTCTTATGTGCCTGTAAAGAAGTGGAAAATGACAAACAGTCAAAGACTTTCAAATGAACTAAAGATGGAGGTTCATTAAACAGAATTTCATAAGGGCATTTGGAATTGAGTAGAGGTGTAGGCAACTTATTGAATATGTGGACAACATGTTAGATGCAGAAATTCCACATATTTAGAGGAATTTCATAATGGAAGAAAAGAGACCTAGCCACATTATGAATGTGTTGGTGTTTTCTTTCCACCACCCAATTTTGTTGGGGTGTTTCAACATAATTTATTTGGTGGGTAATGCCTTTGGACAAAATAAATTTTGACAAAGCAAGAAATTATGTCCCATTATCAGATCTTAGGCATTTAAGGGTGGTGTGAAACTGATTTTCTATTTAGGCAACAAAATGAATAAGACTAGTTTTTGTTTGATATTTTGTCTTAAGAAATATTGCCCAAGTATGCCTTGTGTAATCATCAACAAGAGTCAAGAAATATTTATGTCCCAAAGTGGAAATGGTGGAGAAAGTCCCCTACAAGTTAGCATGTAAAATAACAAAGGATTAGAAGAAGGAGATACACTATTAGCAAATGGGAGTTTCTTTTGTTTAGAAAAGTGATAAGAGTCACAAGGTGCAGTATGATTATTACATTTGATGAAAGAAAAAGCTTTGGATATAGTTTGTAAACCTATGTTTGAGATGTGGCCTAGTATTAAGTGCCACAAATTAGATGAATTATGTACAACCGAACTATTAGCAGAAGGAGGAGCTTGAGAATCGAACATAGAGTCGTCTATGCAAGTCAGTTATACCAATCGTTTCCTTGGTATGATTATGCAGGATGTGACAAGTGTTAGCATTAAATCGTTCAAAACAATTATTGATATCAACAAGTTTTTCAATAGAAATAAGTTTGACATGGAAAGTAGGAATATAAAGCACATTTTAAGAGTTAAAGAAGGGGAAAGGGCAACTGTGCCAGAGATAGAAGCAATGACTTGTGAACCATCAGGCAAACTAACATGAATGGGCACAACATGTTTCTAATCAATGAAAGATGAAAAGTTGAAATAAAAATGATTAGTAGCACCAGTATCTAATATCCAAAGACTAGAATTCTTACCATTCACATTATAAGAGTGAGAATGCCTAACAAAGGGTGAGGTAGAAACAGAGTTTACAGTGGGAGGATGCTTGGATTGTTGAAGCAATGCTAGAATATTATTGTACTGCTCTTGAGCAAATGAAGTAGAATTTCAACTCCTAGGAGAAGCCTCTAAAGCAGTTTTTTCCGTAGCAGTTGAAGGGGAAACATTTGCATTGCCTTGAACCTTGCTTTTACCTCTATAACCTGGTAGATAACCATGCTTCTGGAAACAGGTGTCAACTGTGTGATTTGTTTTGCCACAGTGTATGAAAATTCTGTTGTGTCCTCTTGGAGAATTTTGGTTTTGACTCTTAGCTCAAAATTATTATTACCAGCTTTGGCAGTGTAATTGTTGTGTACCGAGCTTGAGTCTGCAGAACAATAACCTCTTCATTGGTTTGAGCTGAAGGAATCATATAGAGTTTGAACTATCCATTTCCCTTTCTTGTTGAATAACTAGTGAGAACGCTTTGTCAATATCCGACAAAGGATTCATCATCATAATTTGCGTTTTTGAATGCGCAAATTTCTCAGTTAAACCTTTAAGGAATCTGATGACATAGTCTTGTTCTCTATACAATTTGACTGAATCAATTGCACCACATGAGCAAGGAATGGCACAAGAACAGAAAGGGATTGGTCGATAGGTTTCCAATTCATCCCACATAACCTTCAATTGAGTGAAATAATTGGATACATCAAGAGTACCTTGGTGGAACTTGTAGAGATCCTCTTGAATATAAAAAATGCAGAAGATATCGATATGAGAAAACCTAATCTACAATTTTTTTCCACAAACCAGCAACGTTGTCAATCCATAGAACATATTTAGCTATGGACTCTGAAATCGAACGTTGAATCCACGCAAGAACCATGGTATTACATCGAATCTATGGCGCATACAACAAATCTGAAACGGGAGATTTAGGTAGAGTTCCATCAATGAATTTATCCTTATTCTTGGATATGAGCACAATCTGGATTGATCGAACCCAGGTGTGGTAGTTCTTGTCGTTGAGCAATGACGTAACAAGAACAATTGCTGGATTCTCGTTCGGGTGGAGATAAAAGGGATTTACAAAATTGGTAGAAAAATCGGCGTAGCTCTGGTTTGCCATCGAATGAATCAAGAATTGACGAAGAAGGAGAAGTGATTGAAGAGAAAGAACACAGATGAATAAAATGAGATATGCAATTGCAAAGGAAGAAATAATGGCTACCAGAGCTTTGTGAGCTCTGATACCATGTCGATAATGGCTGAATGTGAACAACAAAAAGCAAGAATGGTGTAACTGAATTTGCATACATGACTCATTAAAAGAAGAAGAAGAAGAAGAAGAAGAAGAAGAAGAAGAAGAAGAATGTTTAATTGTTTCATTCAACTCAAATAATCAATACAAGGATAAGGTATATATACAATGAGAAAATAAGCCAGTAATAACCTGGCAGCTTAGCAACCTAACTTATATTATCTAAAGACATGGATAAGATGAAAAATAATACAAATATTAATTCATATAGGCTATTAGTTCATTTTGATCTCTTAACTCTTCAAAACGTTTCATATTAATCCTTTATGTCTAATTAGCGACGAATTTAGCGACTGATTTTTGAATTTTTTCGTCGCTAATAAGACAAAAATGATTAATATTGAACATTTTGAAGAGTTAAGGGATCAATATAATTTTTTTTAAGTTAAGAGATCAAAATGAACCCCAAGTTAAGATACGAAATCAAAAAGAGTATTAAGCTTTTATTGTTTTTAGCTTTGGGTTTTAGTTTTGAGTCTTTGTGTTGTTTCTTCTAAATTGGATCTTTGGTACATTTTGTTTCTAAGGATTGGAGTATCCCTAGTCGTATTCTTTAAAATCAAATTTCATTTATAAAAAAAAAAAAAACCACAAACCAAAATAGAAAGAGGGAATTAAACAATACATGATCTTTCATTTATTTAACACATTATATAAATAGGAAAATGCAAACACAACATTACGTGCTGGCAGAGTTATTGGCATATTCAGTTACATATTTCTTTTTGAATTATCAGATTATTCAATTGAAACCTATTTGATACTTAGGCGATTTGTCAGGATTAAAGAGACCAAAATGTTGTTCAGTTGATGCACCATTCTTTTGATTTTCATCAAACATGGCAAACAAATAAGTCTCAATAGCCACACCAGGTTTCAACGGAGTCCCATTCCCACTCTTTACGTGATTAATCAAATTATTATAATATGTAGCAGCATTTTCCGCAGTTGTGGCTCCATCTCCACCAGCAGAAGGCCATCCACTCTCAGACACAACTATCTGCAAATTGGATCCCCCAACTTGCGCAAGGGCAGCATATACTGAATCTAACTGCGCATCAAAGAGATTCTGGTACCCCGCGTCGTTGTTTCCTTGTTGATTAAAAAGAGCATAATCAAGATGAATGTCTTGTTCATTTCCAACATAAGCAAAGTACGGATACACATTTGCAAGAAGTGGCGATCCATTGTTCACTAGGAAGGTGATTATTGGTTGTAAATAAGACTTTGCTTGGTCAGTGAAAGCACCATCCTTGGGTGGATAGGAATTACCAATCAAAGACATGTCTATTGCTGTAGAGACCTTGATTTGGCCTTGTAAATTGGCTGCTGAAATTGCATTTTGAATGTTTTGTAATGCAGTGAGAACGTATTGGGCCTCATTGTAATCAGGGTGGATTTCATTTCCAACAGTGATGTACTTAATTTTAACATCTTGTGAGTAGGGTGTCACATATTTGGTTACCCAGTTTGTGGCTTGATTGGCATCAGTGAGAGAAGAAAGGGTATCCCTAGGCACATCAAGGATCAATTCAATGTTGGAACCTCTAAGGGCTTGTAGGGCTTCCTCATCAGGATAGTATATACGCATTCCGGCAATGCCATTTGATTTATATAAATCTATAACTTCTTGCCTTGATGGTAGATTATTTCCATTTGCTCCATAGCAAACTCCTATGGATTGCACACCTGCATTATAATAAACTAATTGTAAGTCATTTTATTTTTCAATAACCATGCAATACACAAAAAATAACATATTAAGGGAGATCCATAGCATAGACCTGTAAATTCTAGTGCAATGGAGAGTATAGCAAAAAGCAGAAAAATGGTAGACATGATTCAAGTGTTTGTTTCAAAGAACGTATATTGCTTATAGTTATAAATCAATATGCAACTCTGATATATCTTCTTAAACCTGCTAGTCCATATTTATATGCATGATAATAGTAAGAAGAAGCCAATACAATCTGTTACTATTCATGCAGACTTTTAGCCCCGTCAATCACTCGACAGAAATTAATGCTAACTGTTTTCAAATTCAAATCATTTATTTTGTTTTGGTGAAAACGCTTATATTGTTGAGTGATGGCCTAGTGCTTACGAGACTAATGTTAAATAGCCGCCATTGATTTTGCAGACTAATCAGCTAGTTTAGCTACGTCAAGGAAACGTTCTTAGTTACAACTTATTCAGTACGTCCAAAAATTCAAGTTTTTCTTTGTTATTTTGTGGCAAATCTATTTAACTTATTAAGTTTATTTGCTAGATTCATTTGATGTCGTAAGAGATAGGAAGTCTGTAATATACCGCATTGGTTTGTGCTTTTTGTATTGGAGTTAATCCTAACCGCTACTCACTCCATGGATGTTTTCTTTTCTATTTATATTTATTATTTTTTCTACTCACTTATTTTTATTTATTATATTTTAATTCATGTAAGTATTACACTATCTATTATTAATATGATTATTTTAGTATAATACTTGTGTTATCATTGAAATCAATGAATTACACTATCTATTATTAATATGATTATTTTAGTATAATACTTGTGTTATCATTGAAATCAATGAATGACTTTATCACTATAATTTCACGACGAATCAACAAAATCGTTATAACCAATCTATTGTGAAATAACTCACTAATCACTGTTCGGAGCTTTTTATCCATAGTCCACCAGCATAAGCAGGATTGAACGATGTACATAACATTAACACGTCTCTACTCGAAGTCTCTTATTCCTAGTTAACCGGGATAAAATCAATTTAACAAAGTATCTCAAATAAATAACTTTAAGATACAAGAAACAATTGCATGTAATTAAACATCAAAGGATTCATACAAAGTCAAATAAGCATATAATCCAACAATAGAGAAAAAGGTTCATCACACACAACGTAACCTAGAGAAGTTTACCTATTCATATTCAAATTACAATTTCAATTGAAATAAGGAGAATAACATATGAATTCCCTTGAAGGATTAACCTTCAATGACTTTCAATTGCTCTCAAAGTCACCCTTGATGTTGTAAAATTTGTGCATCAGATGCCAAAATTCGCAACCCTTGCAAAAGTGCAGAAATTCCCCTTAATAAAAAGATCTCATAACGGGTCAGGACGCGTCACAAAAAGTCTAGAAAAATGCATCATCGCACGCATTATAAATGTATTACGCGCGCGATGTAGCTCGTACACCACTATCACGCGCGCGATGTTGCACGTAATTATTCTATGCATGCTTTTACTCCCTTCTTCACCTAATTTTTCACTAAGTCCAATTTCTTCGCATTTAGCTATTTTTTCCTCATTCTTTGGTCTTTCTTCTTCATTTTGCCTCATATTTCACTTGTTTTCTCCGATTCTTCGCCTAATTTCATGCAATAACAGACTGTCATCAAAAATCCCAAACTTAAATTGTTAATTGTCCTCAAGTATCTCGTTTGCAACTCAACATTTCAACATAAAACAAGTCGTAAAATAACAATTGAACATCAATATATATATATATATATATATATATATATATATATATATATATATATATATATATATATATATATATATATATATATATATATATATATATATATATATATATAGTTATCTGACTCTTGTTCTAACTTCCAACTTCCATCCGAGAAATTCGAAAAATATCCTGAAACATTGACGAGTACTGAACATGTCTCTCAACTCACTCTGACTCACTCAATAAATAAAGTCATCTCTCAATTATAATGCAAAAATAAATTATGCTTAGCTAGATTATGTTTTAAAATAATTTATCACGGAAATCATAACACGCACATTATATGTCTCTTCAGGTAACTTGGGCTTGGTTTATGTTCTAGTAGGATATTTTAAAAAAAGTAGGTTGTTATAATAGATGTCATTCTTTTTATTCTTTTTGTCTTTATAAGTATTAATATTAATGTATTTTTTTAAAATTAATTTATTTCTATTTATTATATTTTAATTTTTATAATTGTTATACTATCTATTATTAATAAAATTATTTTAATAAAAAAATATTCATTTTATCAATAAAATTAATACAGTTAATTATTATTTTAATATGAGAAAAGGAGTAGTATATGTTAGAATGGATTTTTTTTTTTGCATTATAAGCTAAATTTATATATTTATTCATATATAAATACAAAATCTATTATATTTTTTATTATAGCGGTTAAACGTCGGCTTGTATGTGAGGTTTAAGCATTTTTTCATATCACGGTAGAATGTATCTTGCTTGATCATGTTCTAGAAATTAAACTTTGCATGTATGCTCGTGCATGAGAGGTTTAAGCATTTTTTGTATCGCGTTATAGTGGATACAATCTTGTTCGTTTGTGAAATGGTTTTTGATCGAGCATGGGCAAGAAAAGATAGGTTTGATTGGTTGAGATTGTTTTTAGGTAGACAACAAATACTCGAGCAATGAAGCGTACACCAACCATTAGTTTATTCAAAGATAAGTGAGGCATGTGCCTCCCATTCCTTTTTCGTCCAAGTTTGAAATTTAAAAATTATTGGCGGAAGACGATCATTTGCAACAGTGAGGCGTGTGCCTCCTACTTGCTTATTCAAGGAGCAGAAGGATATACACCCTGTCCCTTTTTCATCCAAGTTTGATAAGAAAAAATATTTTTCCTTTTGATTAAAAAGTAATTGAATTTAATTGTAAAAACATTTTTGAGAGTATGACAACATCATAAAATAAGTAGCGCGTACCTAACAAGAAGGCTTAAAGCCCAATCCACCCATTCCATTTTCCATTTTAAATTTAAATAACAACTAAATATTCCACCTAGACCTAATAAATAATGATGTTAATAAAATAAAATAAAAATGGACATAAACATGTGTATCAAGCAACATGTAATTCCATTGAATTTTGAAATCAAAGCAAAGCAATAAAGCCCACATTAATCTCTCTTCCTTTTTTTTAAAGAAAAAATAAATAACAATAAAGTAAAATTAAAAAAATACATATATTCCAAAATCTCTCTCACACGGTCTTTTCTTTTTCCCAGAAAATGATTTTTCTCTTTCTCAAAAACACGTTCAAAACCCTCTCTTTTTCTATATAATACTCATACAACATACAGCAACAACTAATATGAACAATGCATAAATACCCTCACAATGGATCGAATCTTCCTCATTACATACTTGTTATACCTTTTGTTGAAAGATTAAACTTGACTTGAGCCTAAACATATTATTTGGATTTTTGGGCTTAGTTATTTTGGATTTAGACAATTTTAATTAATGTTTCTAGAAAACTCTTGTAATGTTTGGAGTGTCTAGATAATTTTTAAGGTTGTAATATTCTCTAGAATATTCTTGGAATTCCTAGAGTTGAGAACTCTCTAGAATTAGTGTGTCTAGAGTTCTCCTTAGAGTACTATAAATAGAGATGTAATTTTACACTTTTGTATCAAGCAAAATACAAAGTTCTCTCTTCCATAAATAATTCTTCTACCTATCAAGTTTCTCTTTAAGCCTCTAATATTCCCACACACTTTTCCTAAACACAAAAGGTCTTATTTCCAACAAAGTGGCATCAGAGCTTGAAGGTCCTCAAAAGATGGCGAATGGAGGTTTCCCTTTTCAAATACTGATACTCACAAAGAACAACTATGACAATTGAAGTATCAAGATGAAGGCACTACTAGGAGCTCAAAATGTGTGGGATATTATTGAGAAAGACTTTAAGGAGCAAGATGAAGCCTCCTTAAGCCAAGGTGTGAAGGAGACATTAAAGGAGTCAAGAAAGAGAGACAAGAAAGCTCTCTTCCTCATTTATCAATCGGTGGATGAAGATACATTTGAGAAGATCTCCAATGCAACGACGACCAAAGAAGCATGGGAAAAGCTTCAAACTTGCAACAAAGGAGTGGAGCAGGTGAAAAAGATTCGTCTTCAAACTCTTAGAGGTGAGTTTGAACGTTTATTTATGGAAGAGTCTGAGTCAATTTCTGATTATTTTTCTCGAGTATTTTCCGTAGTCAATCAACTTAAAAGAAATGGTGAAGATGTTGATGAGGTGAAAGTCATGGAAAAAATACTTCGCAATTTAAATCCAAGTTTTGACTTCATTGTTACTAACATTGAAGAAAACAAGGATTTAAACACCATGACTATTGAGCAACTTATGGGTTCCTTACAAGCATACGAAGAAAAACAAAAGAGAAAAACTAAACAAAAGGAGACTATGGAACAACTACTACAACTCAATGCAAAGGAAGCAAACTATGTGAGTTACAAGAGTCAAAGAGGACGAGGTCGTGGCCAAGACCGTGGATGTGGACGTGGACGAGGACATGAAGGAGAAAGAAGAGGAAGTTACAACAACTACTCCAACAACTTCAAAAATGGAGAAAGAAGTTGGAATCCACAAGCAACAAGAGGTCGTGGAAATGGAAATTCATGGTCAAGGTGCAACAAGTTACAAATCAAGTGCTTCAATTGCAACAAAATCGGTCACTATGCATCTGAGTGTAGATTCTCAAAGAAAGTTGTGGAGAAAGCTAACTTTGTAGAAGAAAAAGGTGGAGAAGAAGAAACTTTGCTGCTCGCGTGCCAAAACCAATTTGAAGAGAAAAGAAACAAGTGGTACCTCGACACCGGCGCAAGCAACCACATGTGCGGCGATCGAAGCATGTTCATAGAGATCAATGAAGCGACAACTGGAAATGTCTCATTTGGAGATGACTCAAAGATACCGGTCAAAGGCAAAGGAAAAATCTCACACGCTTAAAGAATGGGAATCATCAATTCATATCCAACGTCTACTATGTTCCTAACATGAAAAATTATATTTTGAGCT